TCCTGTCTCCCTGTCACTCACCTCTGTCTTTCTCTGTCAGGGAACCAGGGATTGTTTCTGCCCAGCTTCCCCCTCACTGGAGCTGTGGTTTGGGGGCTCCAGACACTCAGGAGACACTCCAGACCCCCCTTTCCCCCGCAGCCCCCTGAGTGGGGACATTCTGGGCTCTTCCTGCTGGCCTGGGGACGGGTCACTCTGGACATGCTGCGGCTGCCCCCGGCCGGGGATCCCACGCAGATGAGGGAGAAGCCTGTCCCTGCTGTCCAGGCTTTGCGTCTTGTCCCTGAATCCCTGCCTCTTTCTCCCCCAGGGTGACGACGGAGAAGCCGGGCCCCGAGGGCTGCCTGGGGAGCCCGTAAGTCTGCTGCCGAGATTCTGTTTCCTTGTTCGTGCTCGGGCCAGAGTCGAGGGTTGGCTGGAGCCTGGATTGGAGAGGGGCTCAGCCTGGAGACAGACAAGTCTGGGGGCCTCCTGGGGGAAAAAGGGGAGCACATGGGGAGGCAGAGGGACAACTCTGGGGCACCAGCCTGAGCCTTCACCGGGGGGTGAGCCCTGAGGCTGTACTGGGGCTCCAGGGTGCAGACGTGGTGGGTGTCCAGGGTCCACCACGGCGGGTGTCCAGGGGCAGTCACAGGGCTGTCCCACCTTCTGACGACTACACTTTGCAAAGCCGGGGTCCTCCAGCAGCGTGCCCCTGCCCGGACGTCTGAAAGCTCTTCCCTGGGCTGACTTCTGTTTAGGGCCAGGGCAGATTTCCTCAGGACATTCATTGCTTTTCACTTACTGCTTTCGAAATGTCTCGTTTTTGGTACCCACGTCAGCGCGGCCTGCGCAGCTGGAGATGTTAGTTGAGGAGGAGCATTGCAGACGCTGCAGGCAGGAGAGCCAGGGTCGCACTGCACGCCCACTTGGGACTGAATTACCCCCCAGGCGTCTGATGAGCCGCTAAGGAGAAGCCGTCAGCGCGGCCCTCTCCCTGACGCGCGACCAGGCGATGCCTTTGGGGTTGCTAACTCCTGAGAAACGTCTGCGTGACTAGGTGTTAAAATAACAGATGAAACATTCAAGTGGCAATGAGTGGGGGAAGGGTTTCTCTTCTACTGGGTCCGAAAAGGTTCTGTCAAAAAACAGCACTGGAAACCACCAGGCCTGGTCACAGGCCCCGCCGTCCCCCGCAGGCGGGCTGGGTGGGAGGGGTCAGGAGGGGGACCCCCCGTGGCCGGCAGTGACCACTGGGTCACCTGTCACATCTTGGGAACCGACCTGGGATGGCGCTGCCTTGGGGCTGGACCCCCGACCTGCGCATGTGGGCACTTCCCACACGCGTGCACCTCCCGGCTGGGAGCAGCCACTGGGCTCCGGGCCGTAGTCCTCGTCTGGGAAAAGATCTGAGCTTCCAGCTCCATCTGCACGATGTGCCCCTCAGAGCGCTAACGCCTCCTGGCTCGGTCCTCCCTGCGTCCTCTGGTGTCAGAGATGCACTGGGATCACTGCTCGGAGGGGCAGAGAAGGAGCTGGACAGACTTCTCCCCGCAGCGCCTGGAACTGGCCTTGGCCGGCAGAGCTGCCTGCCCTGCGCTCGCTCCCTCTCCCCGAGGGCCCCCGCCCTCCCCTGTCGGAGCCCATCAGTTCTAGGCACCCTGCCTCCGATTCAGGAGCCTAGGCGGGGAACGGGGGTGGGGTGAGGAGAGGAAGCAGGCGAGCAGGGGGCGCCATCCACGCGCCCCGGGAGACTCGCGTCAGCAGCGCAGGCCCTGGGGAGGGCCCGAGCGGGGCTCACGGCTTGCCGGGGGCAGCGCAGGGCTGGGATTCCTCCGCGTCTGATTCCTCCCCTCTGCTCTTTCCTCCTGCAGGGGCCGCGTGGTCTGCTGGGGCCGAAGGGGCCCCCCGGCCCTCCTGGACCTCCTGTAAGTCCTTTGTGTGTCTGTCCCAACACCGCCCTCATGACCCTGCCGCCCAGCCTGCGGCCCGCCCGGGGCCTGGACCGCGCCGACCGCTGTCGCCACCCCGCGACGC